GAGGGCGCGGGGCGCCGATCGGGCCTGCCTCGGCCTGCGTCCTCGCCTGGGTCCTTCAGCTCTTGCTGAAGTGGCGCAGCTCAGGGTCCGGGAGGGTGGTCCTGCATCCTCCCCATCCTGCCCTCCCCGCTCGCCAGCTGCCCCGGGGGAAGCCGTTGAGAGCTTCACGTGCCCCCCAGAGATGGGAGCCGGGGTGGGACAGGGGCTCGGGACGCGTGTGTGTGCGTGTGCGTGTCGGCGGTGTGCGCCTGCGCAGCCGGCTCCACATCCCGGCTCTTAACTGACCCTGGTTTACTGATTGATTTTCATGTAAAACGCGTTCAATCCTCACGATGACCTCACTCCAACTCTGCCTTTCCGAGATTTTTATTTTTATTTTTTTTTTGAAGAAAACGGCTGGAAGGCCCAGAAACCTTCAAGCGCCAACCTGTTACCAGGGCCGCCCCCGCCTTCTGCTCCCCGCCCCGCACTTGTTGTATATTTAACTCTACAACCATGTTACGCGTTTTTATTGCTGCCGAATACACAGGACTTTTCCTGTTGCGCAATCTGTCACATCCCCTTAAAACTCGGCAGCGGTCCTTCTGCAAGGGCGCTCCTCCCCCACTCTTTAGGAAAAGAGTCACCCACGCGATTATTAGGGTCCTTGATGGGGGCGGAGGGGGGGCGTCTTTCCAGCCCGGTAACCAGGCTCCCAATGCCAGCATCCGCCTGCCTGGAGGAGACCGGCCCTGTCCTTTGCAGACATTAACTTGAAATTGTCATCCGCTGCCCCTTGGGGTGGCCCCGGTCAGAACTTTGTCATTCCCCCCTCTGCTAAATCCCGCACGCCACAGGCAGCAGGACCAGCGTCCAGGGAGTGCGCAGCCACACAAACGCACACACGTGATGCAGCTGTTTTTATTGCCTCCTTCTCTGTATGGGACCGGAGAACAGGCACGCAGGACAGGCCCCCAGCCCAGCCCCACGCACCCTGGTGCGTGTCCCGCCTACTCACGCTTCCTCACTCCTACCCGCAGCTTCCTTCTGTTTGGGGACAGTGAGGGGGAGACTCTCCAAAGGCAAAGGGCTCCGAAGCCCCAGGCCTTCCTGGCTCCCATCCCCCACCCTCTCGCCCACCCCCCTCCCTCCAGCTCTGAAGTTTGCACTTCAAACTTGCAGGACACCACTCTGCACTGGAGCCAAGAAAACAAGCTGGGGGAAGGGAACAGGTTAAGGAAAACAAGAGACACAATCAGACCACAGAAAAGCCGGCAGAAAGTTCCACGGGGCAAAGGAATGTGGCTGTCCAGATAAAGACTGTTTGTCGTCCGGCCTGGCCCTTATTGAAAATTATAACTCACCTGGTCGCCTTTCACCGCTGGCTCTCCCGCTCCTTAAGCTTTGCTATCAGCTCCCCACCTCCCTCTACCTATGGCTTAATTCTCACCTCAGATAGGCCTAGGGCAGGAGGGGGGGTCAGAGATAAGGCAAAGCTTTCAGTTCCTTAAGAAGTATACAGTGTGTTTTTCCTCGTTTTCTGCAAAGTTGCACCCTGGGCCTCCCTCTGGCCTCCAGGTGAGGGAGTGTGTGCCCAGGGAGAAGGGTGGAGCCCCGCACACTGAGCAGAAATGGAGCCCCAGCAAGGGGGCAGGTGTGGGGGTGGTGAGGAGCACCTCGGGAAAGGGAGGGTGCATGGCCCGGGTGGCTGGTGGCTTCTTGGGTCCTTGTCTGAAAACATGAGTGCACTTGTTTCAAAAAAAAAAACCACCACCACCATCTGCTCCCCAGGCCCCGGTAGAGACTCTGCCACATGGGCTTCTGGGGCCCTCAGCTCACCACCCAGACAACCTGCTCCTCCAGCAGACGCCCCGCCCCCACCCCGAGCTGGCCAGGCCCCATCCAGGCCTCGTCCTCTACTTCTCCTCACGGCCCTAGTCCTTGGGGACCAGACAGCGGTGACGGTGACGGAGAATGGGTGGGGGGCCGGATGGTAACGTTTGCGGGTCCCCCTCTTCTCTCGGCAGAGGTGTAAGGACAAGTTAAATGCTTTGGCCATCTCGGTGATGAACCAGTGGCCAGGAGTGAAGCTTCGCGTGACCGAGGGCTGGGACGAGGACGGCCACCACTCGGAGGAGTCGCTGCACTACGAGGGCCGCGCTGTGGACATCACCACGTCGGACCGTGACCGCAGCAAGTACGGCATGCTGGCGCGCCTGGCGGTGGAGGCCGGCTTCGACTGGGTGTACTACGAGTCCAAGGCTCACATCCACTGCTCCGTGAAAGCAGGTGAGTCCCGGCCCCGCCCCCCCGCCGCCCCGCCCTCGCCCCGTGCCAGCAGCGCCCCCCACGCCGGCTCCAGATCTGCCCAGAGGCAGCACCTGTGCACCCACGGAGAGCGGATAATGGGCAGAGGACTCGAGGGACAGGGCCTGAGGGAACTGGACTGGCGTTTCTGTCCTGGCTACCCACCCCCGGAGAGCTCATTCCCAGCGAGGACGTGCCCCTCCCCTTAAGGCTACAGGAGCCCCCAGGTCCTCTGAGCCCTGATGCAGAGGGCGGATGGCTTTCCCAGTCACCACCCCCCCCCTCCCCGGCCCGCACCCATTTCCGGAGCCCCCACTACAGGTGGTGGAGACAAGGAAGAAAGATGAGGGGTGTTTCCTGGCGGGAAGCTGCAGCCCTGCGTGGCTGGCCAGTCTGGCTTCAATCCTTCCTCTGGTTCGGGCTTAAGATTCCGCGGCCTCCCCGCCCCCCACCCCGCCCCCCAGGACAGGAGGTTCTGTCCAGGGATAAGCCCCTGTGCCTCTCCCCTCCCCACTAGCGCCTGCAGATTCCAAGCTAACTTAACTCACTGGCTAAGCCTTTGGGGAGAGGCCTGGCGGGAGGTAATAAACCCAGTAGTCACCGCGTCCAACATCTGGAGGCCGCAAGCCCAGAAGCACCGTCCTGCCAGGAGCCAGCTGGGCTGCCCCGAGCGCAGCCAGGGCCGGGAAGGCAGATCCGCGCCTGCAGCTGCGGCGCGGCCGTCGCGCCCGTGAGCTCCCTTCCCTGGGCCTGCAACGCCACACGCTGTTGCTGGCGAGGAACCGCTCGCTGTGCCGGGAACGCTTTCCGCCCGCGCGCATCCCTCCTCGGAGGCCGCTCTGCGCGGCCCGCCACCTCCCCGCTGGCGCGGGCGCGTTTAACAGAACGGTTCACACCGAATTTCGGAGGCTCAGTGTCTTCCCCACCCCCACCCCCAGTTTTGCCTGTTTGTCTCCCAAACGGTGTTTTAATAGCAGCCGTTAGTAGAAAAACACTTGAAGTGTCGACATACACTTCGTAGGTAAGGAAAATAGTGGCTTCTTGTCACAACAGAAAGAAAAGGTGTAGAAGGGACTGCGGGGAAGGGGTCTCGGGCGGAAGGGAAGGCGGCGCCCCCACTTCGCGGGGCTCCGCCGGGCAACTTCTGCGGGGGTCCTTTCCTCCCGGCGCGCCCTTCTCGGCAGCTCGCGGCTGCGGTCGCGCGCGCGGACCCCTCGGGGGCCACCTCTGTCCGCGAGCCCCCGCGGT